AGGTTCTTGCGGTGGATGAGCAGATTGAGCATGTTGTAACCCTGTCTGCAAACCTGCAGGCCGACCTCCACCCAGTCCAACTTGGTGGACTGAAAGAACTTGGTGGCCTTGAAGGAGCGGAACAGATACCTGAAGACACCAGAGGGAAAATGTTAACAGGTAATACTTAGGTGATGAGCAAAAGCAAATAAACAGTTTCAAAACACACAAGTTAAAATTAAGTGACAGATGATGTTCACCTCTTCTTCTGGGCCTTGGGTGGTCTGTGCTTCAGAGCATTGAGCACATAGTACTTGAGCAGTTTCTGGTATGATACACGCACTTTCACTGGCTGTCCTGCAGGACAATGCTCACGGTACCTGTAAAAACACCCAGCATAAAGCAGTTTTAGAAAATCTCATTTAAAATCACGATGTGACTCAGTTACATTTTCACAAAGCCAATCCATCTGCTTTTCATCAGTAAGTTATGACACATGTTGCTATATGTTGATCAATATCTCACCAGTTCTTAATCAGGGGGATGTCAATGGCACGTCTTGTGCGGCCAGATCGGAGGTTGAAGGGTCTGGGCGCCCACAGCAGAGCAATGCCATTAGCTGTGTTGTCTGTATAGAGTGGGGTCTCTTTGAGGAAGGGCTCCACATACTCAGGTAGCTCAAATTCCTCATCATCATCAGGCAGAGGCTCTTGACTCTAATTGTGTAACACATGAAAGACATATGTGAGTGTTGTAGATAACATCAGATATGGTATTAAGGTGAATTTTTATCTCAAATTAACCCAAATAAAAGCAATATCTGAATGGTGAAAGGCCAGCTGCATCTGCAGCCAGAAATAAAAGTCACCATTCATTTTAATATTCCTCAAGTTCTTACGCACAGGCAAGCATACCAATGCAAGTGCGCCTTTGTAAGAGGATGTCTTTCAAACTTTTGCTTGTGTTTTGTTGCAAGAGTATTAAACTTCTCCCAGCTGCCAATAAGTGAATTATAAGTCGCACTTACCTTGACAGAATGTCTGTGAGAAATGGGGTTGATCAGCGGGTCAAAGTAGAACGCTGGCAGATCTGGATCCTCTGTCTTGATAAACACCACATTTGGTGTGTGATACCTTCAGAGGTAAGGTCACAAGTATTAACTAAGGTCATTTTGTACCAGGATGAGCAAGTTCAGGGGCATTCCAAACACATTACATCCAAACTATTTTGCTGTAATTTATTTTATTACTTTTCAATTAAAAACTTTACAATTTAAGTAATTTCTTACCAGGTAAGGTGGACATGGTGTGGCAAGTTGTTGTACAAATAGGGAAAAGCGATTTTGTACTCTGTCCTGATGGGCTGTCGGATGATGATTTTGTTGATGTCATTGAACTCATTCCAGTCTTCGTCTCTGTGGGAGAAACAAAGGGATCAGCTAAGGCACAAATCATGCATCATCTGTTCTTACTTTACATTTGAGATGAAGTAACAGGTATTTAAATAAATGAATGCTACCTTGACAAGTGAAGACAAAGTGGCCTTCAACATTGAAAACAATTAACAGCATAAAGTGTTTAGCTCTGTCATTAATTGAAAGCAGGGTGTGCTTACTGGAGGTTGATATCCCGCACCAGTGGCTCAAACTTTGGTCCCCCAGGGATGGCCATATTTAGGGCCTTAGAAGTGAAAAAGGCCTTGAGGTCAAAGAGATAAAAGTAGTTGAAATCCACCAGATCTGTCAGCAGCTGATTAGCCAGACGGTACAACGTGGACATCATAGGCAGTGTGAACTGCCAGCGACGGTAGGTGGTGCCATTCACAAACCTGAGGACACAAACTTATTAATTTCATTCTGCCAGCAATGCATCAGTTTGTAAAACTTAAAACGTGTGATGTGGTGAACTTACTTGGACGTGTCTTTGAGGGGCTGGTGCTCATAGAACCACTCAACAACTGAACCGTCCTCCTCAGAATCCAGCTCCATCTGAATGGCCTCCAGTGGCTCCACATCAAGGATGTTGTCAGCATAGTCCAGCGGCGGCTCCTCATCATCAAATGGTGGGAAACGCATCCGCTTGAAGTGCCGGCGATCGCGCTTCTCACGACGCATCATGATCCACATGGTGCTACGAGGAGGATAAGCAATGACTTAAAAACACTAAAAAAAATGTGATGATTTTTTTCTGATGTGTAAGAAAAGGGGCTACGAAGACGACAACATAATAGTAAAGCATTGAGTTTTTAGGATCATTCAACAACACTATCACTCACCCCCACTGGGCAATGTACACCGGCTCTATGACCCAGGGTATTTCATTCACAAATGAAATAGCTCCAGTGATGTGGTAGAGAACAGGCACATCTCTGATCTGTTCCCAAGGCATGGGCATGTTCTCAAGCAGTTTCAGGACTGCATGGGGCATGTACTTGAGTGCACTGTTCAACAAAAAAGAAAAAAACAGGATGAGCTATGGGAGGAGTGGTGGATTCCATCAACATATACACTTAATTTTGTAAATTCCATTGTAAATTTTCTTAATTTTGATGTTTTATTATTCATTTTTACCCAAGGTAGACCCTCTTGTCATGGCGAAACTTTCTATTGGTCATGTCTCCATGGTCCCTGATGATCTTGCGGACATGCTCAGGTGGCATGTCTTCCTTCTGAGCATCGACAAATCCAAATTTTCTCTTTTCTGAGTAGCGCTTTGCCTGCAACTGCTGCCATTTTCTTGCTGTGAAGGACATTTTTACACATTATAACAACGTCACACACATCAATGCATGATAATACAACTGAACATACAACCATAAATGGGCTGTATTTAGAGGAAACAGGCATACCTTTCTCTTGTAGTTTCTCCTCAGACATGTAGTCTGGCACCGGCACAGGAGGGGGTACACCTGGTGGCATCGCTGGAGGGACCCCTCTGTAGGGGAAGGTAGCCGCCATGGTGCCTTAAAACTAAGAACAAACCACACAAAATTACACAAAATACTTTTACGATTTTAGTTATGTGTGTGCGGAATCATCAAACTAAGGGAAAGCAAATCAAATAAATGTGACTTTAGCACAAGTCCAAAACTGTGAATTACACTGACACAATAAATCCTCGTTATTTTAATAGTTAGACAAATTATACTCCATAAGCAAAGCTGGTGACACAAACTTGCACTCGTCTACTGGCACCGTGACAAACATTAACTAGGCCAAGTAAACTCTCCAAGTGGGTACCCCGGAACAGCGGATACAGAAGCGTGAAACCATACTGTATCATCATCAAAGTTAATTTATATATCATGAGATGGATACATAAACGTAAACACTAGCACAAATGGGGGATTTTCAGTGAGTGAGACCGGAGATCTTGTGAATATTAAGTTTACAGTCTGGATGTTGAGAAGGCCAAGCGTGGAGGAGGCGGAAAGCTAGCTTACTGCTAAGATTAGCTTAGCGGCTAACACCTGAATGTTGGGGGGAAAACAAAGAAACTGTTCCAAACCTCGCTGACTTCACTCCCGCGGAAGATTCCGAACCTTGATGACGACCTTATCCGACGCACGATGGCTACCACCACATTTCTCTTTCCCTCGGGGCCGTGCAGTCTTCTCTCTGGTTCACCGGTGTGTTGACTTGTCTTCATGCGGCGGCGCGACGAACAACGGCGGCCACACGATGGTCGCACTTACGTCGGATTCACAAACGACTGTTACGCCAGATGTACGTATTTGTTAACAACCAAACGCTGATGGGCTTACGTGGGAAAATACGCAAGCGTAAACCGAGCGTAGTTTCAAAATGCCCGGATGATCTTGTTTCCGGTACGCTGCTGCCCCCTATAGTGTTGGGGTGATTTGACTCATTTAAAATACATTGCAGGTTCAGTTCTCTCAGAGATCCAGGTTTGAACAATGATGTGTTAAGATTACATAAATTAAGGATTGTTCCGAAGAACGAGCTTAATGTGCATTTTTGTCGTCGTATCAATGCAAGAATAAAATCATTACAATTTTCAAAAATGTGTCATTTTGTCCTAGTATTGCAAGCAAAAAAAATCATGTGAATTTTCAATCATTTCCTCCATTGATTATGTCAGGGTTACAGGTACACGTTTTTCCTTGATGCTGAGGAAACTCACCGCTCCCTCCAAATATGACATTTTGAGACTGACATGTTAAAAAGACATGGTAAAGTAGTGTTTTGACTACATCTGGTCTTTTGAATGCTCACTCTGTTGCTGCAGTGATGATGTGACGGTTTCATATCCTTTCTTTCTGTGATGAGCAGTCCTTCCTGCTCCAGCAGCAACAGCGCCCTCTTGCAAAGAAAAGTGTAAAAGCTTACAGCACCTGGTATTCCCAGGCGGTCTCCCATCCAAGTACTAACCAGGCCCGACCCTGCTTAGCTTCCGAGATCGGACGAGATCGGGCGTGTTCAGGGTGGTATGGCCGTAAGCGAGTAACTATAACCACAACACCTCCTTTATACATGTGAATCATCATCATTCCCACTTGTTCTGTTGCTTTTGCGACTGCGGTCAAGTGAGCAGACGTTAGTCTTTTCCTGATTTCAAGTGCACCCGTATTTCAGAATTTATGGCAAATGCAGTCAGTCCACGATACGGAGCGAGTCAATGTTTTACTCTACTGTAAAATCTCTTTATTCTATAATTTCTGACAAGGGTTGTCAAAAGTTGTCATGGATCGAATGGATTTTACAGCAGAGTAGGTATTGCGCATAAAGCCTTTTTCAATTCAAAATAATGAACTCTGAGGCTGAATTTCTCAAAAATGATACAGTAAATATGCTTGATACTGACTGAGTGAACAGTCAGGATGGTCCTGAGATCAAGTGTAAAATAACATGATCAGACACCATCGATTAACAACTCAAGTTTGTTTCTAAACCTCCCAGTAAAAAATGACTGACACAACACTATTCTTTATTTATTTATTTATACTTAAGTTATTTTTACTTCTCCAAATGTCTGTTTCACTCTTACACAACACACACACGCCAAAACCAAACCTCGATTCAAAACGAAACGTACCGATCAGAAAGTGAAATTGACTGAAGGTGGCAGACAGAACAAGTCCTCATCGAAGGTAAGGTTGATCTGTTCTAATGTTCACGTGAGTTTAACAAGCCGGATTTGTTTTGTATAAGTAGTTGGAATGAAAAGTGGTGATTTGTTGCTGGGTTTACTGATAAAATATATAAAGAAGTGAATTGTTTTGCGCGAGTTGTCTGAGGGTAGAGTTACAGTTTGTTGCAGTAGGCCTGAAAGTGAAAGTGTTGAAGTGACTGAATGGTAAAGTGGATGTTTTTCATACAACACAGTAAATGTTACACAGTGTGTTTATGGAGACAATGATTGGCCGTGAAAATACATGATGGCCCGTACGGGGATCGAACCCGCGACCTTGGCGTTATTAGCACCACGCTCTAACCAACTGAGCTAACCGGCCATGTAAATCGTGTGAATGACGTCAGCATAACCTCAAAATTAAATGTACAGATCAGAAATACCAAAAGATACATTTATTTAGTTTAAGTAGCTGTTATAAGAGTGTTCGGTGGCTGGTGGCTGGTGCCAAGATTCATGAATGACAAGAAACAGACAAGAACAGAGTAAACCTGAGAACAGAGGTTACAATGCACTTACGTTGCATTTGCACTGGTTTAGCTCAGTGGTTACTTCATCAACTTTCTCCTTGAGAATCACTGATCACCAGTCCCTCACAGGATTGAAACCACGGGCGCTGTCCAGTGTGTTTTTTTTAACCTGATTTCCCTTTGGGGATGAATTAAGTAATCTATCCATCGCAGTGCCAGATGTGCCAGATGTGACAGTTCAGGTCAATTTGTACTTGGATTTCAGGAGGTGAGTCATTCTTCTTCCAAAGGGGTGACAGACAGAAAAACGTATCTAATGTCTCATTGTACTTGCGTCCGTTAAGAAATATTACATCCCCTCTCAAATCTGCTATAACGTGGTGTCATATTTGTGTTCTCGTTTCTCACAGAGTTGCAGATCTCTACACCTGAAGATCTCTGTTTAATCCTCATTCACGATGCCCGTGCAGTTCTCTGGCTGGGAGGTGGTCGATGACGGCGCTTCCTTTACTGGTGTGCTGCTGAAAGCAGATCAGAGCCCTCAGGACCAGGGCGTTTACACTATGTACCACGGGACCAGCATTGCCAGTGCAAGGCTCATCATTGCCAATGGTTTCAAACGATCGCTTACTGGCATGCTGGGAGAGGGCGTGTATGTCAGTCGTAGTATGATAAAGGCATCCAGTTATCCAAGGAATTGCAACGATTCAGACCGCGTGGTCCTTGAGGTACATGTGCGCGTTGGCCGTGTCAAGCGCATTGACAAGGACGACCACCCTCTGCAGTATACCTGGAGCACAAATGGCTACAACACCGCCTGGGTACCCCCTAATTGTGGCATGCAGTCTGTGCCCAGCGGACTAGAGGAGGATTGCGTGTATGACCCCAATAGAGTGAAGGTGGTGTGCATCGCAAAGGCCCCGAGCGCTGCCATAGAGAAGGAGTTACAACAGCTTATTGCGAGATCCATTAGCGGAGGTGGCGGCAGTGCTCCGGACAGGTGCCCACTGTGTAAGAGGATGACCCAGCAGGGATCTCA